GCTGCCTTTCTGCTCCCCAGCCTCGTCCCTGACACATCTGCATCCCCTTCTCTCCATCTCGGCCCCCACCACGCTCCGATCCAACAGAACAAGCGTCCACAGCTCAGTGGCCCTCAGTCTGCGGCCGCCTGGGAGGGGGGATTGTGGCGTTGGGGTGCTCTTTCTCGCTCCTCACTCCCCCCCTCCCTCTCCTTCTCTTTCTCACTCATAGAAGAAGTAAACTTTTTCTTTCAGAGAGTTTGTTGTTGTTTTTGCTATAGGGCATGTGAACTCACCGGAAAGACCGAAAGCAGAAACGCCCCAGGGAGGATGGCCCTGCCACAACCTCTTTTCCTCCATTCTCCTCTCAGGGTCCTGGGCACACATGCACACACGCCCGTCATGAGTTTGAAGTCTGCTGGTTTGGGGACTTGAACCGCGATCAACTACATGGGAGTCCAGTGACATAACTATTATGCCATCTGCTGGTCCCATAAATAAACTTTAAAAAAACTTAGAGGGCATTTTGAAATTTAAGCGAACCTCAATTCATCTTCACCATCTCAGCATACAACCGAAATGTACAAATTGAATGTGTTTATGTTCAGTAACAGAAACTGACACTTCCAATAACTATTTAGCAATCTTCACCATTTTCTTTCTTTAAAGAATTATTTATTTATTTTTATTACTATCATTTTTAAACATTGGTACAAGGCACGTGTGCTCACCAGAGAGAGCGAGAGAAAGTGAGAAAGCAAGGTGCCAGGTCTGGGCCTCGAACCACAATCGGCAGGTGATAGTCCAACGCCTTCACCACCATGCCACCAGCTGGCCCCAATCTTGGCCAGTTAAAAAGAAAAAGTATTCTTTCAATCCGATCTAAATAGTGCGACCTTCATGCCCTCTTTAATTTTGTTTCCTGGTTTTGGCGCCCAGCTGTCGTGGGAGACATGGGCGCCACCTCTAAGCCGAGGCCCGCCACGAGTCAAGCCCGCAGGGGTCACTGTCTCTCTGGAGTTATCATTCTCTTATTTCTAACCCGTCTTTCCTTTCCAAATGCCTCACCCTTTACCACTCTCTCGTGCCCTCTGCCGAATCCATCGTGCCGACGTCTGCTCAGCCTGCGGTCCGGCTAGATCTGTGGCCAGGCTCAGCCGGCCGTCTGGTGTTCCACAGGCTCTTGGCAAATGTTCCTCAGGAGCTGTGAGATCGCGCCCAACCCCATGGCCTGGGTAAGCACTGGATGCAGGGAGCCGGTCCCACAAGGCTAACTAGGGCTTGGGTTCTGGTCCTGGTGACTTTAAGAAACGCCAAGCTCAGGGCCCTGACAGGACAGGGGTTGGGAGGAACAGGACAGGCTGCATTGGGAATGCCCCCGGGAGCTCGCTCCCTCATGCACGTGCGCGTGCCCTCGCATGCACGGCACTCAGCAAGCAGTCGGCCATGGCGCGTGTGACTGGCGTTGCTGTGTGCTCAGGCAGTTTCCTGCTACTCCTGCCGTGTGGGAGTACTCATGCTTCCTTCAAAAGCAGTGCCCTGGCTTCACCAGAAAACCCAGCAGCTCATTCTAACATTTGTCCTACACCGTGAACCTAAATCTCGACTTTCTAGGAGGGCTCTTGGACGTGGGTATTACAGCTGCCATTGACGAAAACACTAGTGGACCTCGGCAGAAGTTCAGATTCTGTCAGCCCGCCCTGAATGTTCATTCCCGTTTTCGGAATCCCATACAGTACCAGAACGAGTTGTCTCTGTCTAGTAAGTGTTGCTGTCGCAGTCACCAAAAAGACTATTTTGTGTTGGAACTTAAAAAAATTATTAATTGGAGCTGCAGGTGGCATACGGTAAGGCACTGGACTCCCACTCAGCCGACTGCAGTTCAAGTCCTGGACTCAGCAGCTGGCTCGCTCTCTCTCTCTCTCTCTCTGATGAGTGCACATGCCCTATAGAAAATGTTTAAATACTAATAAGTAAAATTAAAAGCATAATTCTTTAAAAAATTATTACTAATTGCCAGAGGGCATATGCACTTACCAGAGAGAGAGAGAGAGAACCTCCCGCAGGGCACACTCACGCCATAACCTTTTCCCTCCATTTCCCCATCCTGCTAGGCTTTGGGACAAAAGCTCACACGTGTCCAGGAGGGCCACGATTCAACCCGTGGCTGGGCACGTGGGATCCAGCTCTCAGATGCACACCACGGGACCAGCCTAACCTCGTGTTATTGTGAATAGTTTAATACTTTAATTAAGTGGGATTTCTATTTGTTTTCATCGATAAGTTAAAACTGCCTAAATTCATGGGGTACAATGTACTGTTTGGTACACACTCACGCTCACACACTCATGCTCACGCTCACACACGCTCTCACACTCACACACACGCACGCACACCAGGGAATGATCAAATCAAGCTAAGGGGCTCATCCACCCTCTCACACACACACACACACGCTCTCACACTCACACACGCTCTCTCACACACACGCACGCACACCAGGGAATGACGAAATCAAGCTAAGGGGCTCATCCACCCTCTCACACGCTGTCCTCTTTTCCATAGTGAGAACGGTTCACACCCACTCTTGCAGCCGTTTCTCAACACGACACACAGCACTATTAACTGGCCGCCATGAAGCCCAGGAGCTCTCCAGAGCTCACCCCTCCTGTCTAACTGAGACCTCGTACCCTGGATCAGCACTTCCCTCCCGACCCTGGGGACCACCACTCTGCTCCCCAGTTACAGGAGCTCAGCCGTGCAGCGTCTGCGTGCCAACGAGCCGAAGCTGTAAAGCGTGGAAGAGGAGAGCCATGGTTTGCAAGGACGGGACATCACACTTGGAGAAACAAGCCAGGCATGGAAGACACAGAAGTGGCAGTTTTACAGACAGCTAGTGATTTAACTACTTTATTAGACCCTTTTCCATTTTCAAAACAGGTTCAGGGGTCCAGCAGATGGCATTGTGGTTAAGTTGCTGGAATCCCACAGGGCCAACCGTGGTCTGAGTCCTGGACCCAGTGGCTTGAAAATCACACCAGGTACATGTGTGTGCGTGCCCAAGATCCAGAGAGGAGAATGGAGGAGAAGGGATTGTGGTGTGGCCATCTTTGGAGGGTGATTTCTCACTTTCCCTTTCACTGTTTCTGACTCTCCCTCTCTGGCTAGCACACATGCCCTAAGGCAGAAACCTCTTTTAAAATAAAAGTTTGGGACCAGCAGGTGGAGTGGTGGTTAAGGACGCTGGGCTCCCTCATGGTGACTGCAGCTCAAGCCCTGGTCCTGGTGGCTTGCTGTCTCGCTCTCCCTTCTCTCTCTCTCTCATTCTGTCCCTCTCTGGCCAAATTATAATAAAAGATGAATAGAGTTAAATAAGATATTTCTTTAAAAAGAAAAGTTGATGCTACTTTCTAAATGCCTACTTACTAAATTCCTCTTTGCTTATAACTCACTATTATAAACAAAAAACTATACATGCTCTAAAGTGCATGTCTGCCGATTTCACAAGAATTAGATTCCCCCAGATCTCATCTCAGCACCAAAGAGAGGGAGTCCGGTGTGCAGAGCAGCTGCCCGGGTACCTGTCAAAGGCCGGAGGAAGGTCACCAGCCCTCGGCCTTCCGAGCAGAGTCGGTGCGGGTCACTCAGGGACGGTTCCTACTAGACTGACATTCCCAGGCTGGCATTACCACCCCTCTGTGTCACTTCTGTGCAAACACACACACACACACACACACGCACACACACACATGCACACACACGCAGCTCGACACTTAAAAAAGAGAAACGGCAGAGCAAGGAAGGGTGAAAGGAAAGTGACCTGCAGCCAGCTGCCCGTTAGCAGGGCACTCTCCAGGGCACCCTGGCGGGTCACCGCACCTCGGGACCACTGAGGTCACAGTCACTGGCTCTCCTTAGAAGAACCGCCTTCCTCCGTTCAGACTGGAGAGCGGAGAAAGGCTCTGGAGGGCAGCGGGACTGCGGGAGGATTCACAGAAGGGGTTGCTTTCTCAGATTCCTCACTAAGGCAGCAAACCTAAGTAAAACAGGCTGGAAAAAACTTTCATTGGGTTAAAGAAAGAAACACTTCGGAGCTTAACTCTTCAGTTGTCCCCTCCCCTGGGGGCTCCCAGAATCCCCCAGGTAAAGGCTGAAGTGAGTGAGTCAGAGCACACGGCCCCTGCAGCGAGGTTAATCATTGCCCTCAGCCTGGTGTCTCCAATCCCATTCCCACAGAGGCCTCGAAGCAGCAGATGTCGGGGCATGTCTCATTAGCGATTATACCTAATGATTAACGTGGGGAGTCTCAATAATGTGGTTCCAAACCTTCAGGACATTCTTCTGAGTAACTAACCTCAAGTACAACTTGGGCTCCCACAAACCTCCCACATAAAACAAAGTACTGCATTAAAAAAAGAAAAAAGAGAAAGATCTTGGCGATAGGACACGTGCTCGCCGGAGACACAGAGAGGGAGAAGTGAGCGGGGGTCTGAGTACGCACTCCAGACGCGCTTCCGGTCTTCACGCGAGCCTTCGCTGACTGTCCTCAAGCCAACGGAGCCCAGGTTAAGACGGGGTGCTTCCTGGAGCTGAGGACAGCCCGGGGGGCGTCTGCCGGCCTCCTTCCACAACCTCGAGAAGCATCAGGGCAGGCCCAGCTAGACAGACTCCGAGCTGTCGGGGCGGGCGGCGGAGATAAGGTTTTGCCCAAGATTTCTATAACAATGCTTGAATTTTCCCACTAGACAGCAGAACTTCCTGTGGACTTGAACACGTCGCTAGAAAACGGGAATATAAGGACATACTGTGTCACTCCTCCATGTCCCAGCAGGCACTTGGCCTCTTCACTGCTGCTGCTGAGACAAAGAGGTTCGCTTTGCCTTTTCGATATAACGTCCCGGGTCTACACAGCAGGGGCACCCCTGCTACCATTAGGGCCGCCCGCGCCGCTAAGGCACACGCTATCAGACACGGGCGTAGTCTGCTCCTTGCCCGACCCTTCGGAGCAGCATTTGCATTACCTCTGTGTTCACGGCTTCCATGGGTCTCCTCTTGACCTCGCCTATGTCCAAGTAACTGAGGAAACAAACACACGAAAACAGGGCTTTAGGTCAGCTGTACACTTCTGTTGTTGTTGAGAGGTGTTTGCTATAGGGCGCGTGCGCTCACCAGAAAGACAGAGACAGAGAGACAGAAAGTGAGAAATCACCCCGGGGGGATGGCCACGCCGCAGTCCCCTTTCCTCCCTTCTCCTCTTGGGATCTCGGGCACACACGCACACGCGCCCAGCATGAGTTTAAGCCACCGCGTCCGGGACTCGAACCGTGGTCGACCACATTGGAGTCCAGTGACATAGCCATTACGCTAACTGCTGGTCCCAAGTCAGTCATACAGTTTTTAAAAAGTAAAGCATGCATTAAGGATTACTCCATCTTTTTTTAATTTTCTGTTACATTTGTTCACTGGACATCAGCCCAGCAAAGGTTAGTAGCCACGACCAGCAACGGCAGCATGAGGACGGTTTTCGGCATCACCAACCACAGCTGACACCTGTCTTCCCCAACTTTGAAACACGTTTTTCTGTTAAGGAATAATTTCCCCCTTAATAGCCAGCTGCTCACTGTCTGCACTGTTTTTATAACTCTTCGGTGAATTAGATGAAAAGAGCAGTCTGCGTGGAAAGGTGTGGGACAGTTCCATTAATCACAGACACCAGGTCCAAGGAGATAAGGGGGCAGTTTGCCTTAGAGTGACACCTGGGGACGGCTGGGCCTCCTCCCTGCGAGAGCCCTTCGCGTTGGGAACGCTCAGCAAGCAGGCGGTGTTGGTGCCGGCTCAGCTAGGAGGCAGAGGGTGGACCAGCCAGCCTTGGCGGACCCCCCAGGGGTGCACCACTGTGTGCAGATGTCAATAGCCTGGAAACTTTCTCTTTGTCAATGTCAGGCTATCAGCCTTCCACAGTAATCTTATTCTAAATTTAAGTAGCCCCCAAACTGTGCTTTGTATGTAGAAGGTGATAAACATTTTAATGTAAAAAGTATAAATGTATCACTTAATTTATAAGTGTAAATAGATAGAGAGATAACTTACATTATATTAGAATTTATTTTGGCCACTGCAATTGCTTTTATTATTGTTATTTGCATTTTCAAATAGAGTACTTGAGTTCATTGGTACCTATAGAAATTATTATATAGTTCCCCTATGCACGGGGACTTCTAAAAGTCGGTGGCATGGTGGTTAAGGCACTGGATTCCCACAAGGCCATCTCCACGGTTGGAATCCCAGACCTGGTGGCCTGAAAACACATGGGGCGTGTGTGCATGCATGCCCAAAATCCCTAGAGGAGAAAAGAGAATAGCTGTCCTCCCTGGGGGCGAGGGGGGACCTCTCACTTTCCCTTCTCTCTGTCTCTCACACTCTAGGACAAAAAAAAAAAAAAAAAAAAAACTTTTAAAAAATAAAGTTTGTGAAAAGTAGAATTAAAGATTATTTTGGTGCAGAGAAGTCTTGAAATCTGCACAAGTTTCCATAATGCTTATTTCCCATGAACTTTGATTTCATTGCACACTGACTAGAGACAGAGAACTCGCGCCTCGTGGGGCACGGCCACGCCACAGCCCCTCCCTCTCCATCTCTCCGGCCCGTCGAGACTTGGGGCACGTGTCCACATGCATGTGGCGTGATTTTTTATGTAATTGCCCAAGTTTTCTGTCATGTGCAGAAAAGTGACCTCAGTCTCTGAGACTGAGGTAGTAAAGTCAATTTCCAAAAATGCACAGGGAAAGTTCTGGAGAAAATAATCTCTAGAATTCTCTGCTACAAAATAAAGATGTAATGGCTACTTTAAGTAGAGTTCCAGTTTCAGCAATATTAGAACAATCTAATGGAATCTAAATTCCTGCTTGAAAGACATTCATTGCTCATTTCCACTTGAAAAATCTTCCGTTATCTCCCCAGCACCATGAGAGTCTGAAAACCCACAAATTACCCCGGATGCTCCTTGGGCTTTCTCCTGTCCTGCCAGTTGCTTCATTGGCTACATAATTCCAGTGCTTCATTTCAGATACATTTAGCATTTAAATCTTCTTGGCTTCTACCATTAACGCCATAGATACTACTACTGTAACACAAACAAACCAGTCACCTGGGCTGGAAAACCAACTATGCACACTGTGACAAGCTCCACTCTGTGTCTGTGTGAACTACGAGCAAAGTGACCGCGTAAATCCTCTCTGTGAAGAGTGACTTCAGGTGCGCCGACTGCTTGCTTTGCAACTCTGTCCTCTTTCTCTCGTGAGTGGGCTGTGACAAACAGAGAGCGCGAATAGAGCAGGCCCACAATTTTCAGCCATTCGTAGATTCTAAATCGGATTTCTAGTTCCGTGACATTTCTTCATGAGGAAATTGTTTAATGAAAAGCAATTTCAGGAAAGAAATGGCACTTTGAGATAGACGTCTTATTTGGTGTGACACGGGTGCGGACACGCATGCTCACACTGCCCTGCGGGAAGAGCTCCGTTCCTTGTTCCTTCGCCGAGTTAAGGCACTGACTGGCTGAGTCAAGCGACTTCGAAGGACACTGAGCTCAAGCCCAAGTCCTCTGGCTCGGGCTTCTCAGTCTTTTAGGCGCGAGGTCTCACGTAAGCGCTCTTCTACGGAATCAGACAAAGCATTCTTAAAGGAGGTTTAATAAAAGGAAAAACATAACCCAGTGCATCCTCCACCTTCTGGAAAAAGAATACGCCCGGCCTAACAAAAAGCAGAATACCCGGAACTCAACTCAAACCATATTAGAGGACTTCAGTGATGCTTGAAAAAACATGTCTCTACCACTGACGGAATTCACAAGCATAGATTTATGGTAAAGATATTTTTGCTATCCTGGGGCCTAAGATAAATTTCAATTAAAATGTTCTATTAAAAACTATGGACCATACAATTATTATACAACCGGCAATACACTCCACGGTATACATCAAGAGAACTAAAACCCTGCACATAAACGTCTGTGCAAGTGTCATTCACACTGGCCAGAACGTGAGCCAGCGCACGCTCGTCCACCGCTGCACGGCCTGCACCGTGGGCTCCGTCCGCATGGCGGAACACTGCCCCGCTGCCCCACGGACCAACGTCCCACGCACGAGGGGAGGGAAACAAGCCACAGAGGGCCACATGGCACGGGACTCGGTGTACAAAACACGCGGGCCAGACAAGCCCACTGCGCCAGAGGCTGGCTGCTGTTACCAGGTGGCGGGGGCACTGGACGCTGCAGGACACAGCTTGCTTCCGGGCTGATGGAGACGTTCTGAAATCCCTGCGGTGCTGGCTGCACAACTCCGTGAATAAATTAACCACCACTCACACGGGCGGACACTATGTCATGTGAACTGTGTGTCAGTAAAGCTGTGGGGACAGAAAACTAAGGAATGTGAAGCCCCACCTGTCCTGCAAAGTCCTCAGCGACCCCCGCCACAGACTCCCAGAGAACGCCAGTGGCTTTTCTAGTGGCACTGCGGTGGCAGTGAAAGACGGGGTGTGTGAGCCCCTGCCCTGCTGCGTGACAGTGCTCATAGACACTCCGCTCTGTATCTGACGCGGCACCATGTGCTAAATCCCTGAGCACCCACCGCCGAGGCCCCGCAGAAACCCGCATGCAGGTCCCGGCCCGCAGGTCTGCCCACCAGGACAGGAGAGGACACCGACGGAGGCCCACACAGCACATGGCTGGGCTTATGGTCACTGCACGGATCCCCAGGGGGTGGGAGCGCCACCGCAGTGGGCAGTGTCCATTCCGCTCAGAATGAAAGGCCGCGGGACTCTATACGGGGTGGGGGAAAGGGCGCGCGTGTCTCCACTGGTGACAATGCGACACTCGATACTTGAACGTGATCTTAAGGAAGTCTCGACTTAAACTAAGCGGATGGGCTCCAAGGAGGGAGGGGGAACTCCGAAGGAAAACTGCAGAGGCGCGCACCAAGTGGGGGCGCTGCTGCCGCCCACGCCCACGGGGGACCCTCCTCCAGCCCTCGGCACCTGCCGTCTCTACCCCAGGTGCAGGGGCGGGCCCCTCGCTTCCCGGGGTCAGCCCGCCGCGAGCGCACCCCGAAGTGGGTCTGGCGACTCACTTGAGTTTCTTGAAGGCTTCCTGGCCCCCAGCCACGTAGTTGGCCCCGCTCTGGATCTGGTCCAGTTTCCGAATGCGGTGGCCGGTGCGCGGGGTGTAGATGTTCCTGACGGCCCCGAAGGGCGCCTGGACGCCGCCCGTCACCTCCTTCAGGAAGACGTCGAAGCTGGACACCTTCTTCTCGTGGATGACGACGCGGCGGCCGGCGAAGAACGGGTCCCCGTTGCGGTAGACCAGCACGCTCTTCACCACCGGCTGCGACAGGTGGCTGGACCTGGCGGTGCCGCTCATCTTCCCGGGCCCGCC